TACATATATGCCTTGTAATTATCATAACTCATTCATTTCTCATCTTCAAATCATGAAATTTAACAGTCATAATCTCAACTCATAATTAGACATGTCATATAAATTTCATAATTTTAGCATGCATATACATCAAGTTATTAGAATTTAAAGTCATAGTGAACATAAAATTCATCTTGCATGTTAAACTTAAAAAATTCATAACTCAAGCTATACTTTGTCAAATCACTTAATTCTTGTTCTCATGTACTCCACTTTTACACAAGAATCATTAATTTAAATCATACTTTTCCAGCTTATTCATATCTTTATCAACATCTCATCAAATCAAGCACATATATCATATAATTGATCTTGAACAACTTTAACTCTTTGTATTCATAGAATCAATTATAAATTTAACTTCTAAATCATGATATACTTACTTATAAACATGTAAAATCATTATCAAAATATGAACTTAAGCATAAAACTTTAAGATAAGTAAATTACCTCCTTCTTGCTAGAATCGTAACTTGATTCTTCACTTCTTCACAATTTCTATTACTTATCTCTCCTACACTCATATATATCTTTTTGTACTTTTCTTTGGTGTGAGAACTCTGATTTTTAGGCCTCTATTTATATGCACAATTTGGCAAGACATCATAATGGAGTGAAGAAATGAAGAAAATAAACAATTTAAACATATAAACTTAACTAATCATAAACTATTTTATGATTAACTTGTATTCTTATCCAAACATAATTAATCATCAAAAAAGGCCTCTATTCATAGCCATGAATTAGCTTTTGGTAGATAAAACTTATTCCACCAAGTTTAATAAAATTCTCACCAATTGTTGAAAAAAAATGCTAACTTAAAGACTTAGCAAAACTTTGTTGTGATTTTCTCATCTCATTCTCACCAATTGATGACCAAAATTTCTTGCTTAATGTGATGTAATTGATTCCATATATTATTGAAAAAATGTCACCATTCATCATATAAAAATCTTTGGAACAAAATAATAAAAATAAAAATCATCTTTTTTTATTACTTATGCATTTTCTTTCAATATGGCTGATTTTTAAAACTCTTTTACTGAAAAGTAATGCTCATATGTGGTCTTGGATCATGCTAATAAACCGAGAATAATACAATTTACGGAACTTAATTCGGACTTAAAACGAACATTTACCGTAAAACTGAAAATTCTAAAATTTAAATTCTTTACTCACAGTTTTTCTTCAATTTAATAAACATATTGCTTCTTAGGATCTAATATAATTATCTTAAAAATATTCTACATTTACGGAACCACATTCGGACTTAAACCGAACGATTACCGTAAAACCGAAAATTCTAAAAATTTCGGTTTCTCTTAAAATAATTTAAATAGACTATAATGTCTAAATAAATTTTCTCACTTCTTTGAACATTTATCACTTAAATGTTCATGAATACTTAACCGCACTTTGAGACTTAACTTGTATCAACTTATGCTAAAGCTCAATATTATGATCTTATCTTGATGACTTAAACAGTTAGAAAAATTCTAAGTATTTAGTACTAAGGCTCGGCTATTTCTTAATTAAGTTCAACTCATGACCAAACATACTTGAGTTCAGTTCACTACTTGTCTTAAATGATTAATCAAAATATACTCAATTTCGATTATTCGTTATCTTATATTAATTAATCCCGTCTTATAAATCCATTTATAAAAATAAACAGACTGAAATTAATTAATTACTGAACTGGCTCGATTGCTGAATAAAATTTAACCGAGAATACTTTCGACTTAAAGTCGAACTTTTAACTGAATAACTTAATAACTGGCTCGGAATTAGGAACGAGCATTATTAATAAAAGTAATTAGTTCAACATAGAATAATTACTTTTATTAATTATTGAATGGGATATTACATTTTTACTGTTGCTGCATTATGAAGAAAGCAAGTAACAGATGTCCACTGAAGCTCAGAAAACTTCCTCAAACACCATCTAGCATCCAGTAAACTTGCCTCTGCATCTGTAATTGAATCATTTGTGCCAGCTATAGTCTCTGCCCATTGAAGCTTATTTGCTACAGCATCAATAGCAATACATTCCACTGCAATGTCACCTGCATCAGATGAATGAGCACTGATAGCCATCCAAGACCATCCTACTCTCTGATATACTTCATCCAATTTAGGTGCACTTCCTATCTTAAACCCTTGATTATCCCACTCCTTCCATTCTGAATATGTTTTCCTCACAATGTCCATCTCATTAAACCAATCTCCTTTAAACACCCATTTATTTCTGCCCTTCCACAAATTCCACAACAAGTAGACAGATAAGGTAATTCTAGCCTGTAGAGTAGCAGACATACCATGAGAACGCAGGCTCATCCACCAACTTTGAAAATCCACTAACTGTTGCTTCAATATATCCCAGTCTATCCCACTCAATTTCCAACAAGCCTGAGATTTTGGACATTGAAAGAACAAATGATTTAAAGTCTCCCTTCCCTCCCCACAACTTTTACAAATGGGATCAATTTCAAATCCCCTTATCACCAACTTATCAGCTACCCCAAGAAATCCATACCAACTTTTCCAAATAAAAAATTTAAGTTTCGGTTTAAGTTGTAATTCCAAGTTGATTTCCACATTTTCTTCCACCATGCAGGATTCCCACTAGTTGAAGGAGTATCCTTGGGATTCCTTTGCACTCTAAGAAGAGTATTGTACACTGCTTTAGTAGAAAATACCCCCTTCTTGCCCCAATGCCAAATTAATTTATCTGGTTGAGGAGTGCTTTTCAAAGAGATTGTGAGAATGAGAGCAGCATCCACAGGATTAAATGTCTGTAAAATAGCCTCCTGATCTCATTCTCTATTTCCAGATTTAATCAACTCACTGACTCTAACTATCTTTTCTTTATCCCCCAGAAATAACATTTTGGTTTAAAAGAAAAATTATTTGGGATCCAAGGAGAATCCCAAACATGTATAGACTTACCATCACCCACTTCATATCTTGCTCCCAATTTAAAAGAACTCCTAGCACTCATCCAAGTTTTCCATAGCCAAGAATCAATATTCTTAGCTTTAACTTCTAGCAAATTATTATTCCAAAAATACTTCCCCTTTAAAACCCTGCTCACAAACAAATTAGGAGATGTTTGAAGTCTCCATAATTACTTAACCAGCAAGGATTCATTAAATACCCTTAAATCTCTAAAACCCAACCCTCCTTCTACCTTATCATCTTTTAAATTATCCCACTCAGTCCAATGTATCCTATTTCCCCCCTGCTCACTTTTCCCCCACCAGAAATTAGCTATATCTCTACAAATTTGATTGATGATGGTGATTGGAATTCTAAAACATGACATAACATAAGTGGGTAAAGCACTCAACACTGATTTGATCAATATTTCTCTCCCAGACTCACTCAAAAATCTATTTTTCCAACTCATAATCTTATTTTTTACACAATCACTAACAAACTGAAATGTCTCTTTTTTTTATCTTCCTATGCCTAAAGGTAATCCCAAATATCTAGATGATTTGACTCTGGTAATTCCAGAAAGCATTCTGCAGATTTGAGACTGGTTTCTTTCAGAAGTATTTTTAGAAAACAAAATTGAGGATTTCTCAAAATTGACAATTTGACCAGACTCAAGACCATACTGATTCAGAATATCATTAATAAGAAGAGCATGTTTAACATCTGCTTTGCAAAACAAAATTGAGTCATCAGCAAAGAATAAATGACTCACAGGAGGGACATGTTTACCTATTTTAATGCCCTGATACTGACCAGAATGACAGGCTTTATTAATGAGATGAGAAAGAGCTTCTGAAACAAGTATAAACAGATAAGGGGAGAGTGGATCCCCTTGTCTTAAACCCCTAGTGGGTTGCAAAAAACCCATATTAGAACCATCCAAATTAAAGGAATAAGATACAGTGCACACACAAGCTAGAATCCAAGATATGAAAGTTTCACTAAATCCCAATTTTCTGCATATTTTGGCAAGAACAGCCCATTCTACTCTATCATAGGCCTTGGCTATATCAAGCTTAATGACCATGAACTGCTGTTTTCCTTTCCTTTTACTATTCAAATAATGTACACATTCATTAGCTATAATTACATTATCTAAAATTTGTCTACCAGGTACAAATGTTGATTGAGCACTAGAAATACAACTAGACAGCACCATTTTCAACCTATTAGCTATGATTTTAGCAATCAACTTATATATTACAGATCATAAACTAATAGGTCTAAATTCAATAACTCTATTAGGACTTTTCTTCTTAGGGATTAGAGTTATAACAGCATGATTAAGACCTTTAGGCACATTGCCATTTTTAAAAAAATTATGTACACCAAGTTTTACATGATATTGAATATGAGGCCGAGTTTTTTGAAAAAAACATGCAGTAAAATCATCCTCTCCAAGAGCTTTATCAGGAGTCATATCAAACAAAGCACAATCTATTTCTTCATCCTGCACTCCTCTAATCAGATTAGCATTCATATCAGGAGTAATAAGTTTAGTAATATCATCAAAATAGCAACTATCTTCTGAAGGATTGGAAGTTTTGAATAAAGTAGTAAAATAAGCCAATATTTCATTTAAAATTTCCTGTTGATTCTAACATCTAGTCCCATCAGCCTTAATAATATTATCAAGATTTTTCATTTTTCTTCTCTGATTTACACAAGCATAGAAATATTTTGAATTCCTATCTCCGTCTTTAAGCCACAATATTCTTGATTTCTGTTTCCAGAACTGTATTAATCAAGTTGCAACAAGGTTGACAAATTAGGCGTAAAAGAGTGAGTCTAATATATTTACTATAATTTTGTTAGTAATGTCTAATGATGCTACACAGCCACGAGTCACTGCGTATATCATTTGGCTTCCAAATTCCAATTAAGTTTTAAATGCTTGGCCCTTTTTTTCAACCAACCGCATTACAAAGTAAAACCAATGCTTAAAGTAAAAAGATTATATGTATAAAAGAAGTATTTTTTTACGTGTCGCGAATAAACTGATTGCAGGCCTAATATCTGACTATCTTGAAATTAAGACAAAACCATCCATTTGTTTCAATTATAAACCTGTAGATTCACTTCTATCCATACATTGGGTCCACCGAGCCTTTGCGCTTTTGCCCTTTTTCCACACTCGCGCACTTGTAAACCCTTTTCTTTCCCTACGCAAATTTCTCAACATATTCTTCCGCAATTCTCACATCGATTTTTTGATTTGATTGGTGGCTTGCATCATTCCTGGTGCTTGAAAGGTATTATCTGCTTCCTCAACTCCGATTGTTGTGATTTTTCCCTGTTTGAGAAAGATAAATAAAAGTTTTATCTTGTTAATTGTATTAGTGGAGAGGTTGATTCATGTTTGCTCAGGCAGATTGGTGTTCATAAATATATATCTCCCCCTTTTTTTCGTTCTTTCTTTCCATTTTTTTTTCAATTTATAGCTTTAAGTGTTAGATTTAACATCTGCATATCAGTTTCTTAACTGCTGATGTTGGGATTTATTGTAAGCTTCTAATTCCTAGAAATCCCTTTATTTTGGGTGGAAACAATTGAGCTTGTTAGCATGGGCATGTGATTTCTGGCTAATTGTTTTAGGACCTCTAGGGATTTGTAAACTTTGCTAATTTATCTGTGTACTTAATTGTATCATACTTTTTTGGTTTCTTGTTTGTTCGTCCAATACAAACAGAAGAAGAAGGAGGAGTACAATATAAAAAAGAAAGACGCAAAAATGAAGGGAGGGAAAAATGGAGAGAAAACAATGGGGCCCTTGTTTCCTAGGATTCATTTAAATGATACTGATAAGGGAGGGCCAAGAGCCCCTCCAAGGAACAAGATGGCCCTTTACGAGCAGCTTAGTATTCCTTCTCATAAATTCAGTCGTCAATCGTCCAACCTGAATTCGAGCCAGGTGAAGTTTTTGTGAATTTTAATTGTCTCATTTCTTGAATATGTTCGCCTTATGATTTAAATTTTAGGTTAGGCTCATTTTCATTATGTTACTGATAGTTTTGAGTTGTAACTTCTAAGTTCTTCCCTGCATAAAACTGAGTGTACTCTATAATGAGAAGCTGGTAGCATTTACTGGTATAAGCTATAGGTTGGATTAGCGAAAAGTTTTTTTGTGAAATTCGAGGGTAAAAGAAAAATTAGGAACCTAAAGCTCTCTCCTTTCACTTAAATTATAATCGCAATATGTGGTTTTAAAATCAGATGTTGGAATTTCAAGTGCTCTTGTAAGTTGACTTGGAAAATTTATAGGATTTACCTGGTATTTGTATGATCAATTTAAGATCTCTTAAGTTCATGTAGCAACTTGTGCACTTGTGCTTACATACAGGTCAGCGTGAGTGAGAGAGGCCCGTTTTTCTCTCATCCAATGCCCCTAGAGAACTCTCACTATACCCAGCACTCGGACTTAAGCACACCATCACCACAAATCGAGCAGAAACTGGATCAAGATGAATTTTCAGTTCCTATTTTCACCCACCCTGAATCTAATAAAAACCAAGAAAAACCCTCGGCCTCCACTCCTACTCATAATCAACGTCCGTTGAAATCACAAACAGATAAACACAATACATCTCGAGAAAGTGAAAATACAAATGGGGAAGTTTTGGAAAATTGTAGCCTGTTGGATGATATTGCTGCCGGTGATCTTTGTAACGGCCCAAGTCTGAATGTGAACTTGGAGAGGGGAGACTCAGTTTCTGAGGATTCGGTTTTGGATGTTGTGTGTGAAGTGACTTTGACGCCCGATAACGTTGTGGGAGTAATAGGGCAGAAGCATTTTTGGAACGCCAGACGAGCTATCGTTAAGTGAGTTTTCTGTCGCTTGTTATTTTTGTATCTCAAAGCTTTCTGTTTGCAGGTGCAGATTGAATTTTAAATGTTTTTCCGTGCGTGGCAGGGCATATTATTTGTTTATTGGAATTGGGAATGTGCTGGGATATGCTTGTGCGAATTTTTTGAGGATATGATGTTCTGTAAGGGGAAGATATAAGTTACTGAGTTTTTATTTACTTGTTTTAGTTAGGACAGTGCTAGGTTTACCTTGTATAGATGCAGTTAATTATCTCATATGAAACTGGAAAGTAGGATACAGAGCATGGAAATACGCAAGCAGTTACAGGAAGCAAAATGAAAGATCACTAGGAAAATGATAAATTATTATTATATTTAACCCTTTTTCACTTTTCATTCACTCTGCATAGGAGCATTTGTATTGCTTTGCTCATTTTCCTGCATAACATGGACCCATATGCATTTGTACAATTAATTCCTCCAGTAGGTCCATATAGGTTTGATATGTCTAATATAATTAATGTTGGATCTCAACTAAATCAACATGCTAAGGTCTTCTCATGATTTTGTGGTGATCGTATTCAGTGTTCCCTGCAAGATGGATATCTTCAACTAAACAAAAATAGGTCTTCTTAGCGCTTATCCAGAAAATTTTAAAAATGTTAGCAAAGGACGATTTGGTCCATAAGAACAAACAAAGAATCAAAAGTACATAAAAATGGCTGGAGAATGATTCAAGGGTCCCTACCTTTTAGTTTTTAGTTGCTGTTGATTTAACCATTGTTTAGCTCGCTGAAACCAATACTAGTTAAGTAGATTGTTTGTGCAATTCGAGTAAATGCTTTGTTTGCAAAATTAAATGGTGGGTGGGTTTACTGGTGCAGAGTAATAATTTCTCAAAGTGAGAAAAATATTATTTCTTCAGCCACATTCACATGTATTCTGGGGCAGCTCATAATATAGCATGGTGGGTTCATGTAAGGTGTGCACGTTTAAATCAAGGTAAGTCTATCGACCATGGACTGCCTTTTTGTTCTTTTTCTTCTTTAATCATACCAGATGTTTTTGGATTTATACTTTTCTTTTATCTTTTCTTTTGTCAATAGATTCTCTCATTGTTTCTTATTGCTGGATGAGCTTAGATAATTTACAATCAACGCATCACTGATGTTGCATGGAACCTGGAAAAAGGCCATGAATTGAAACAAAAGTGTCTGATGATTTTTTCTTTCTTTTCTCCTATTGAATGAAATGAGTGATTAGTGAAAAGTTGCAGTATTCCTCCACAGGCCGTGTTAGAAATTCCTTTGACTTTTATCTTGTCTTGTGTGCAGTCAACAGAGAGTTTTTGCAGTTCAAGTATTCGAGCTGCATCGACTTATAAAGGTGAGGGCACTCATGCAGTTTAGGTGGCTTTATTGATTAAACTGCAAGGGAAGTGTCAAATAATACACCTGAATTTTGCCTAATTACGTAAGACTGACCGTTATTTTTTTCAAAATTAGAAACTCCCCCTCAAAGTGTTAGTGCAGAAACCATTGATGTTTATATTTTTACCCAACAAACACACTCATCTTGAAGGGGTGACTAATGTAATAGAAATGCATATGTTGAGGAAATCATTTTGATTTTGAAATTAAACTAGACCTTAGTGGTGTTTTCCAAATTATTTCATTTCTCGGCCTCTCCGGTTTTGATGCCATTCTCATTTCTATTAATCAAGTCATATTTATGCATGTGCACATCATTTCCTATTTCAGGTCCAAAGATCAATAGCTGCGGCCCCACATCTCTTGCTCGAGGACTCTGCTTATGTTATCAAGCCCACGAAGCCTTCGCCTACGAAAAAACGCTCTTTAGACAACACTCTCAAAACAAATCAAAATGAGCCCATACAGAAAACCGAGCATGAGAAGGCAGCGGCCCAAAAAAACGAATGCTCCGCCGAAAATACCCTTGAGAAAAAATCATCCTCTCAAAATAGGCCTCCGACTAACGACGTTACCAAGCCATGCTTGAATCAGGCGCAAGCTCACCATTGGCTTATCCCAGTTATGTCCCCATCTGAGGGATTGGTATACAAACCGTATCCCGGGCCTGGGTTTGCGGGCCCAAATCCAACGGGGCCCAACTTTTTGGGCCCACCCTATGGTGTACCTCCGCTGCCACAGTATCACTTTCCCCCATTTCCTCCTTTTGGCTATTACGGCATGCCTGTTATGAATGCAGGGACTGGCCCGCATGTGCCAGCTGGCGGGGCTGATTTTAATAATGTCCAGCCTGGCGCAGGCCAAAGCAATGGGCCTGAGGGTATTGGAGTGCAAGCTAGCACGGGTAGCAGTCCGAGTGAGAAACGGGCTGCTGAAGGGCGAAATGTGCTATCGCTTTTCCCAGTGGGCCCGAGTAGTGGTGGGCCCAACTCAGCTTGTCAGGATTGTGGGCCTGATGGCCCGAGTAAGGTGATCAAGGTTGTGCCGCGAAATGGAGTGTCTGCATCTGAGCATGCTGCGAGAATATTTATGTCGATTCAACAAGAAAGGGGACAGTTCGATTCAGTGTGACAAATTTGTGGAGTTGGTGGAAAGCTACCTGTTCCTGTTGCATCATAAATTTGGTGTTTTGGATTCAACTTTCCTTTTTTTTTTTTTCCTTTTTTTTTATATATTTTTTAGTTTTGATTCTGTTTCCAGCCATTTTGTGCATGTACAATGTTGTAACTGTAATTCATATGAAGTGTAGTTGATACTTGATATTTGACTCGTTAGTTCACCCGCCCGTCCGCCATCCCCTTTCCCAAGTGATTATGTGATTTTATAATTTGAAGTAATTTATGTAAGCATATTTCAAATACTCGATAATTGCAAAGTGTAAATTAATGGCATGAGTGGTGAGTCGTGTATGATCGTTATGTTTTTCCGCAACGATGATGATATGTGAAATGTGGTACACTAGATTCTGGAAATCGCTATTAGGCGTCTGATTAGTGTTTAGGCGGATCTTGGAAATTAGATTAAATGTTTTATTTTTTATTTTTTTTTACTACTTAAAAAATAAAATTATCTCAATTTATAATAAGTCAATACACCTGAGTCCAAATAATAGTATTATTATAAAAAAAAATATGATAACAAAATAATGGAATTCTTAAATGGTTGGACGATTTTTTTGGCCGATCAACCCAAATCAGCAGCGTTTTACTGGCGCCTAAGATCTAGGTCAATTTAAATTATACTGGTATAATATAATGTCGGAATAGTAATATTTGAGATGAGATTTTACGAAATTTGTAACAAGAAATTAGTTCATATAATGCAACAAGAAATTAGTTCATATAATGCAAATAAAGTACTAGTTTATATTATTTTATTTATTTATATTTGTATCATTATAATATTTTATGATGATTTTATTTGTAATATTTAATTTAACATAATTAATGTACTCACTTTTAAATTTATAATATTCTATGTTATGAATAGTAGTGCGTAGGTCGTGCAATGTATGAGAGACAGATGTTAAATGGGCCAGGCTCCATAGCACTTATCCATTTAGCCAAAAGAATAATATGGTCGGTGATAGTGAAATGGATTTCACCCGGGCTACTTCAACTTGAACGGCCTCCGTACCTGCAAGAACCCAACGTCAGGAGAGTCCCGGCGTCGGGCCTCCGATGCATCGGTCAACACTCGCCAGAGGTAAAGAGTGCAATATGAGAGTATAGTCATCAATGTAGAGAGAATGAGGTTTTGGGATACCTTAGCCCCCTTTTATAGGGGATGTGTACCTTAGTACCCAAGTTGGGCTTGACCAATACCATTATGTCATGTGCCCTAGTACATATGTAAGCTTATTCTCCAATATATTTCTTCTTATCCATTAAACCGGTTCAGTATAATATCTCATATCATCTAGTCCCTCACTTTGGTTGAGTGAACATAACTCGATCTAAGAGTGAAATGCGTCCTCTAGTTGTTTCCGTCAACCTGCCACTAAGGTTATAATTTGAATAAATCCTCGGCCGCCGAATAGTCACTAACATATTGTTTGGTTCGAGAGAAACTGAAGGGAGGGGAAGGGATGTGAGGGAATTTACTTTTCTGCTGTTTGGTTCAATTTTTGGTATGGAAAGGACGTGAAATTTTTCCCTCATTTTCCCTCCCCAGCGGAAAAATGACTCCCCTCCAATTTTGAAAGAATTTGGAGGAGAAGAAAAAAATTGTGTCAAATGTACTAATTTGCCCTTCTCAACTTATTATAATTACAAAATTATTGCATATAAATAAAACCTAATCCTATTTTCTGCTCATTTGTAACTTTCCAGAAGAGAGGGATTGCGAGAAGAGGGGTTCTGCAAGAAGGGGTTGCACAACAACCAATAAATTTGGTGAAATTCATTCGTGGTTCGTTGATTCCAGCTTCTCCGAGGTAATCTTATTCTTGAACTTCTATAGTGCTGTGAATTTGTTGTTCATTTATTTGTTAATTTTGATATCTACCCAATCTTATTTGTTCCGAATGATGGAGAAACTACATTGAAATGTTGAAGTTGAATAAAAAAATGGAAGTGTACTCTTCAGTCAAAAACAAATTTTAAATCCTAAGCCAAACATGAAAAATAAATAAATAAATAAAAATCCGAGGGAAGCTACATTATAGAGTTGCAATTGAACCAGTTAAATCATCTATCTGAATGGTTGGTGCTGTTGTTTGAAGTGAAAGCTTGTAACGCCCCACTTTATTTTAAAAGATTTATCGAATTTATTTAATAAAAATAAGAGTTAATTTTTCGCAAATCTCAAATTAAATTTAAAACTCAGTGGGCGCTACTTAACTACCAAGAACTATTAATCGAAAAAAATCCAATAAATTCCAAATCCACGAAATCAAAACATAATCCAAGGTTCAAACATCTTAATCGAATTATCCCAATACAAGCAATATCCCAAATCAAGCAGGAAAATATAACTAAGTCATAAAACATTCAAAATACACGGAAGCATTATAATCATAAATGAACAAGACCACCCACTCGCCTTGCCTCGTCACCCGTCAACTGCTTAACCGGCATCTGTGAAGAGCAAGTGGAAGTGAGCACAGTTGGAAAATATTGTACTCACACTATGCATATGAACAACATCAGAAATATGTTAAGATGTTATGGTCGCAGCATTAACATAAACAATAATAATCATCACGTCTCATCTCTAGTCACATCAATGACTCTAGTCTCATCAAAGACTCACTCATGTGCACATCTACGCTCATCAAAGCTCAGCCATGCCATATCAATGAAACATGTGAGTGCGTGCCACATCAATGACACGACCTTCTCATAGGTCTTAATGAAATTTACCTCGTAAGGATAACCGTATTTCATAACCGTACCGATGACCATCAAGCTCACATCGATAGGCTACATGCTCACATGCATACATAGATCATACCGGTTAAACATATTTAAACACACATATGCACAAGTATTTTAGAATAACTAACCCACCTGGAATTCGGGTAGGCAATAGCACACAAGTTGAAGAACGTAGGTCGAGGGCTCGACTCCTCAAACCTAAAAATTTAGAATTAAATTATTATTAAGGGTTTTGATTCGGTTGATTAAACCACACAACAACAACAAGAAGCAAAACACAAAAACAAAAATCTCAATTAGCCAGGAAAAGCACATGGCTATAACAACATACTAGCCTTCACATTTCTT